CCCCCCCCGCCCCCCCCAAAAAAAAAAAAAAATCTAAATAGACAACGTGAAAACAGATGTGGATGTATCATCCTTAGATTCAGTATCCTCCTTCCAAAGGATGTATTCGGAGCTGGAAGAATTTCCGAACATAACCGCAAGATTTCAGCATATCCTTTGTCCAAAGGGGCCTCCTCTTCACAAGCAAATGCCACCAATCAATATTTTATGGAACATCAAACTTTGTAAGATATATACAACATGAAAGCAATTCCAACTTTAATGTCACACACGCCTGCAGAATTTCTTCTAATGTCAAGAACTCAAAAAAACTCCTTGCATCTTGGAAATTAAACTCATGGATGAAGCCTCGTACCTGTAGTTTCAAAACAATCTATAGAGAGTATTTCAGAAAATAGCTTAATTATGTGTAATATATTAGCTCCCTAAAGATACCAGAGGAGTTTGTGATCAGATGGAAAAGGCTTAGCAGGTGAAACTCCCGAGGAGACCACGTGGTTATGGGTTCAAACATAGGCGATGATGACATACTGAATTTTCATGTCGTGATGATAACACTCATGCACTGAAGCTACTAACCCCAGTGGACAGTGGGCTAGGGTCAGGCTATGACTCAACTAACTTGAGGAAACATCTATAGTCTACCCAACCGTTTAGGCCCTCGCTATTATTTGTTAATCCATGGCTAGGACGGATACTATAATCACGTCTAGATAAGGTCATCCATAACTGACTGCCCCCTCCAACCTTTTTTGCTCAGCAAAAAAATTTAAAGAAACTTGTTGATTGACTTCATTAAATAGAATTTTTATGACGCCATATTTGGTTTTATTCAGGATAAAATCATGGCCTTGTCCTTGCTTAATACCTCTTTGACCATGCACACCACCAACCTAATATTCTCAATGCAAACCCTGCATGAGAATTTCCGTTCATCTAATATTTCCGCAAGGAGGCCATTCATGTTCCCACTCATATGCCCATGATAGGAAACATGGAATGTGCGTAAAAGGCAGTCTATGCAGCAACACCATATAAAAAAAGGTCATTTATGTTTTTTTTCCTCATATATTACTACGAACAAGGGCAAAAAGATCCTTTCATTTGCTACCTAAATTATATTACGATTTTTGATGATGACAGAATATCCAATAATTAAGAGTTGCTAAAATAATCTATACTATTTTAAAATGTCAACAAAAGTGAAAAATTTTTGATTGACATAAATAATCTCAGTAAAAGAACTAATGCCCCTTATATCCCATCCTTTCATATTCCCCTCTTCAATTTTTTCTCTATTATTAGTTTTAAATTAATTTCATACCAATAAATCAAATACATAATATAAATTAATTAGTCCTAACGCATCAAGACTCTCAGTCTTCCAAAACAGATGTCTTTCTTTCCATCTAGAGTGTAATGGAATAAGCGGTTAGTTGAGCTCCTCTTTTGAGAGCAGCGTTTTCTCTCTCTCTCTGAATTCAATTTGCAAGTGCCATTAACATGGACAACTTCTCAATATTGAGTGTTTTTCTCTTCTTTTTATGTCTCCACAGGTTCTTTGACTATTTCCAAATTCAATTAATAGGTATCATTAACCTAGATAGCTCCTCAAAATTGAGGTTCTTCCTCTTCTCTTTGTCTCTATAGCTTCGGGGAATTAATGTGTGAAGTTGCATTGACTACACCAGTTACCAAAATTTTTCCCTTTCACATGTTTTCTTGTGTTTTGGTTCATACTTCATACACTACTCCTTCTTCTCTTTCTCTCTCGTGCACACACCTTGCGTCTCGCCATTGTGGAACCGGTCTGTGGTACCAGGTGCTGATATATTTTTGTCCACTTATAATTTTTTTTGGTGTCCCACTTGCTTCTGTTTTATGAATAAGTCATTTTTCAGATAAGTGTTTGTTCTTTCATTATGAAGAAGTTTGTGCATGCCAGCATAAGATTATTTCCTTGTATTTCGTTTAGCACCTAAAGTTCTAGTTTCCATGCCAGCCATGATTTTTTTCGCATTTGTTTGATATAAAAATTATGTGCATCAATAGATGATGGCTCAATCCAGTGCTTGTGTTTATTCATAATAATCAGAGGTTGATTTTGTGAAATTGCAATTTTTGCACTGGTTTCTTTTTTATACCAGTAAATACTTATGGAATTTTTAATCTTCAAAAGAAGACTCAATTCATTAGCATTTTAATTGTTTTCCAAATAATACGATTAGTTGTTTGCTTCTGTTTATCAGTCATGTAAGGGTCATTGTATGAAGGTTCCAGATTACCACTGAGAAGTTGTGTCTATCTCTCGTTTTGTTCCTAGATTATTTACCATTACTCTAATATAAGGAAAATTTATACTTAATACAAGATACAAGAAGTGTATGCATAACCTAGGACTTTGATATAAATAGAAACTTTACCCTTCTTCCCTTATCCCCTAATGAAGGTAAAAGTTATTAGATGTGTAATGGGGTGATAATCTAATATTTGTTCTTTAGCATTATCCCAATCTATTCTTAACCCAGTATTCATGTGTTTTTGAGTGTGGATTGGAAAACGATGTGTATAAGCTTATCTTGAACATATGTGAAAGGCTCTCTCAAAAAAAAGAAAAACATGAGTGAAAGCCAATTGTTAATCTATGTTTTGTAATGGTTTTTTTTTTCCAGGGCTCTTTTACTAACAAAACCAACTCCACCTACACCACCACCAACAGATCAAGAATAAAAAAGGTAACTTTAAGCAAACCCCTATTAATGTTCAAGATTTGTAATTCTCTACACACTGCAATGCTCCTGATCTTTACCTCAAGTGTATAAAGTTGGTGTATGACAATTTCAATATTGTTGAGAGTAAGAAGATCTTCTACAATCATGATCGTTTTGAAATTTTACATTTCACTGATGAAGCTGAAATGGTATAATACCTTACACTACACCTTAATCTCAAATTACTATAGGTAAAAGGCGTTCATCTTATCAATGCAGTATTAGTTGTTTCAGCAGTAATGTACAACTAATTAAGTAGTTGAACTATTTCCTGTCGCAACTGATATAACTATGTGTTAATTCATTTTCTTTATAAAACGAAGAAAAAAGAGAACAAGGAAGCACAGAGAGACATAGAGCATGTATTTACAACGAAGTCACATCATGGAGTGTTTGAAACACATGCACATAATGGTGCACGTGTGGGCCAAATGACATTGATCCTAGCAAGAACAGAGGTTTATGTAGCTGATTCTCTATGTGTCAAGGTCTCCAACTCTCAATTCTACACTTCGCTATTTGTCACAAGAGGTTAATGGAGGTTTTTGACGGTATAAACGAATGTGGTTGCTCCTAGAACTTCACTCCTCAATCTGTGACCAACATGTTACTTGTTGTGTCCTGATTTTGTTTTTAATAGCAAAAAAATAGTTTAACATATCTTCATTTAGTAATATGTAATAACTCAATTTTTTTTTCCAGGACTTGAGCCTAGTGGTCCAGTTGTATGTGTTTGTAGATTATTTCAGTGGAATGATCCCATTGCTGACATGTAGAATAATAAGATTAAGTATTATATACCAACAGATAGCTAGAGTTTTCTCTTTATTTACCCGAAGCAGTTACTATGTTCACATATGATCAATACTCAACATTTTTTTGATTTGATGTACTTGGTTTAGTTGTTTGCATTGCTATATACTATATGGTAAGTATTAGTTGTTGGGCAATCCTACTTTAACATATATTGCTATAACTTGAACTTCAGGGGTTATGTATTGATTAACTATCCTCATGTGTTCCCCGGGTACCTTAAGTATTTGCCAAAGAAGTACTTGAAGAACAACAACGTGAGGAATCGGTTTCGCTTGATTGCTTCCAACGAAAATAGTAATGTTTATGAGCTGCACTACTTCAACATTGCCAAGAATGAGGGTGGAAGACAATGACTGAAGATCAAGTTCAGAGTTTGTCTCACATTACTTAGTGTTGGCATTCACTCTAAGAACCTTTGTTTTCCTATTCAAATTTATGAACTTTCAGTCTAGTTGTTCTCCATTTGTTTTCTATTGTAATTTTATTAAATGATATTTATCTATATCTTCAAATGGTCCACGTGCAACGCATGTTTGCACCAACTAGCACATAATAAAGTTTGTGATGAAAAAGAACACAATAACATTTGCAATACATTCTAGTCAAACAAGGATCAACTTCGAGGCCAGACATCAATTCCAACATGTCTACTTTTATGAAATTGAATAGACTTGACAAATGGCATTAAGAATCTGAGTACAAAAATCTATTCCCTTCAAGCTTGTTTAGTATTCTTACTCATCATCAGCTACACTTGGCTGCCTGTGCTTTCTTTCACTTCAGTTCCATCAGCCTGAGCCCGTGAACTTCCCGAGGGAGGTGCCTCAGAACATGCCCTCAGGACAGCCTCATTCTACAAGGAAGACAGAGGCATTTAAAATTGTGAAGAGCAATTAGAAGTAGAATGAAGTCATGAAACAAAATTAAATATATAAATGTATATATACAAAAATAACTAGATGGATCGATATAACAACTTTAAATCCTCATAGACACATGCTCTATGCCCAATAGGTGCACCAGGATTTGAAACAAACGGAATTGTGTATGCACCTATGGCTAGTCTAAATCTTAAAAGCCCACCTTATGTGTCAGATAAGAAAATAAATAAATTAACTGACATAAATGGCTAATTAATCAGCACAAAAAAAAAAAAAAAAAAACAGATGACTGTCATTTTGAAAACAAAACTATCTTCATCCATGACAAGCCTGATGTGTAGACAAACTAGATATCAACTAGATGACAGGAACCACATAGTTAAGAATCTATGAGTTACACTAATAAAATATTACAACATGAAAACATTAGCCAGGTTTAGGGTTTAGAAATTACCACATGTCTGCCAACCATTAACCTTTGATAAGAGGATTCAAAGCATATCCTCTCTTCAGATCCAACATATGTACCCGTGGGTTGTAATGGGACTAGAGTTGTGTCTGGTACTTTTATGGAGATTGGAGGTTGTTCATGGTGGAGTAAGAGGTGAATTTTTGCCAAATGTGGATGGATTGAGGAAAATACATTCAACTTTTCTAGAGGAGTTAATGAGGAATAACAAAGGGGGATAATGATGATTATTTTGAAGGTGGCATCCGGGTACAAAGTGAAGGTTGGTCAAAGTTAAAAAACTCAATTTGAGTAAACAAGTGTCCACCTTAAAAGACGTGACAACAAATCTTGTGGGTTAGTTTGATGGTTGATGCTATGGTGCCAGGTGTAAAAAAATAAAGGTGCGCTATGGCTATTGTTGCATGACTGAGAGGATGTTATGATGGAGTTGAGAGGGTTTGAAGTGTCAACTGTGACGGTGTCTGCGGTGCCTTCATGTGAGCATATTGCTCAGATTTATCAATTACGAGGACAAAAAAAGTAGACACCAAGCATAGTTTTGAAAATCGGCCGTTACGTAACGGTATCGACGGCCTCCGATTCCGTTATAGCCCTATTTAACGGATTGAAAAAAATTCACACCCGTAACGGCCGCATCGTAACGGACGTTACACTCCGTTGTGGTGTCGTAATAGCTATCGTAACAGCCTAAAATCTTTAATTTGGCAACAAAAAAGGATGATCATGGAATAACAAATATGATACTCTTTTTAGAATTAAAGGAGTGGAAAGAAAGATCTAAACTTCATACAATACATACCTGTTGAATTTATTCTTCTTGTGGAATTTTGTGGCTGATGTATATAACTTATATACAAAAAGTTGTAAAGATGAACAGGTCTTGAATGTGAAGAAGATGAAGTGGGAATGATTGGGTACAATAAAATCAAAAAGAAGTTTGGAGTGTGAATGGTTATGATTGATCCATTTTCATCATAGATCCTCGTGATCCGTCATAGCTGGTCACGTGGGTGTTAGAATGGAGAAAACAACACTCCACAAACACACAGAATAAGAAAAACTTTTGCCTTTGAAGACCACATGTCCAAAAGTATGTTTCAAATGGACACGTGTACTAGACTAATTCTTTTTTAAAATTAAGTCAATATTACAAAAAATTATTAAAGATAATAAAAGAAAATGGAGTTCATTAAAATTAAGTCTATATTTCACTTTTAGGGGAGATATGAATTATAAAAAAAATTCACATTCTGACGTTCCCGATTTTCGTTATTATTAATGATTATTTAATGTTATGCATATTTTTAATATCTCATTAACATATTTATGTACAATAAAATACACTAAAAATCACTAAACACTTATACTTGCATTAATTTATAGTTGAAACATGTAAATATTTATGTTTTATAAGTATTGTGAGTCGGGAAAAAAAATTCACATCTCTGGTATCCATTACTGTTATGTAAAGTTTGTTTTACCCCGCGTCCATTACATCGCTACCGTTACCGTTGTGACATCCGTTACCGTTATTCAGAACCATGACACCAAGAGACTTGATCCCCCCATGTCGAGGAATCAAAACTCTAATACCATCCTAGAATATGAATTACTGCAAAAGCTATATTAGACAACGTATTCAATAATGTATACCATTCAACATTAGGATTGTACACATTTAAATATACATACATCTACCGACAAAGAAAGGAAATTTAGTTTCAATTTGCACCACTCTGTTCAATTTGCACTTTACTCATTCATCAAGGCCCAAAGGGATTTAGTATCATAATTAAAGTTGAGAGGGATGATGTGAAACCAATTTAAGAGCATCTCTAATAGGCTTTTTATTCTCACCCAATTCTCTATTTTAGCAAATAAATCCCTAAAAATCAATCTCCAATAGAGACTAGATTTTGACAAGTTAAAATAGAGAATTCCATTGGAACTGTATAAAAAAATTGCAATTTATTTTGAATTTTTATCAAAGGTTCTCCCTATTTTACAAAAAATGTTGTCAACAAAAATGGAGCAATATTGGAGATGCTCCAAGGTAGGAGGGGTTCTCCGTAGTTATTCGTATGGTATATGTCATTTTTGAAAAACAACAACAAACTCTATTAACACATCGTAATTATCTCCAACTACTCGATATAATCCCAATATAATTCCCCACAATATTACACTCACTCAGTAGGTGAGGTGGGCTATTTTTTTCCTTCTTGATGTATCGAACAAATGGACAATCTAATTTAGGTGTACTAATATTATTAATACATACGCAGACTGAATAAACCAAATACTTGCTTGTAGATTAAATTTAGGATAATGAAAGATAAACCCTAAAAACAGTAGCTCAATTGCATGTACGTGTGTGTGTGTGTGTGCGCGCGCGCGCGCAAACGGAGAAGGAGAAGGAGAAAGAGAAAGTAAAGGAGGAAGGGAGGGACCTGCCAAACACGGTGAAGACGCTTCTTGGCGTTGGCTTTGCGGGTGGTAGTGAGCTTTATTCTCTTCCAAACCAGGCCTCCTGAATCGTGCTTCTTCACTATCTCCATCACTCTCGTCCCCCAAAAAGCACCCCACGCCATCTCTCTCCCACAGTCTCGTGTCTCGCCTCCGCCGTATTCGAGTGTGATGTGCGTTAACTTTTAGATAGCTATGGGCCATCTGGAATGGGCTAGGCGAGGCCTGATCTGCACAACTACATTTGATCCACCCACTTAGAACTAGTCCAGTAGAGTAGCCCATATGGTTTAGGGTTTTATTACAAAATCCCCCCTCCAAGTTTTGTGGATTTAGCAATCAATTCTCTCTGGTTTATATTTTAATAATTTGCCACTTTTAAGTTTACGCTGGACCAAATAAACTGACGGAATGGATAATGAAAATCCCAAAATGCTCTTTCAATTCAACCCTTAACTTCAAAGTTAGCTTTCGCATTACCACCTCCACCGTCAATTCCACCACCCATTCATCCCCTCCACCACCACTATAGCCTTCACCAAAAAAACACTACCATTACCCACTCCAAACAAAATACTAACCATAAATCAATTGAACCACACACTACATTTTGTTAACAAAAATTCTTTCAATCAATCTATTTAATTACAAAATTAACAGATTTCAATTCCATAAATCTACGCCACCCCTACCCACACACCAGCCGTGGCCACTACCAGTGAACACCAGCGTCACCCCTGATTCCAATTGCTGGGAAAGGCACTGCTCATTCAGTCATGGTCAACTGCCACCAACTAACCAAAATGAATTCATCCGGTGCAGTGGGTAATAGAGACAGAAAGATTGATGGTGCCGTAGTGTTGAAACTCTGAAATTGGTGGCTATAATCCTCAATTAGTCATTTTATGCCCTGATTGTGCTATGTTGGCTTAAATGTTGCCTTGTGGGTTGGTGGTGTGCATGGATGCTGGGATGCTGCTTCAGTTGTGGTAAACAATGGTAAAAGGAGGCGAGAGTCTATATGTTTTGTTTTGAAAAATTCTGTGATTTTTGAGAGAAATTTAAAAATTGTGAATTAAGAATGATTAAACGGGCTATTAATTCAAAGTTTGTGACTTTTGATTAAAAGATGTTAATCCAAATGGTTACAATCTTTAGTAAAGCCACCATTAACACCTCTCACTTGAAAAAATACTATTAAAAGTGGTTATAAGTTTTCATAAAAGCTCTATTTGATACCTTTAGATTAAAAGACACAATTTCAAATGGTTGTATTTTTTTTATAGAATAACATTTGATATATTTTAAATCAAAAGACATAATTTCAAATGGTTGCACACTTTTTGAAAAGTATTCTTGGGGAAGAAGTCGAGGAAGATGAGATGCTAATGGCAGTAAGAATTGCAGTTGTATGTCTTTCTGACGTGCCTGCTGATCGCCCCTCCAGTGACGAGCTTGCTTCTTTGCTGACCCAATTAAACAGTTGCTGAAGACACATCTAAGCAGCTATATGACACTTCCGTTTCTCCAGATTTAGGTAATTGATTGTTTTGGAGGAGACTTCACTCACTGCCAAAGAGCTTTTTGGTTGATCCCACAGCTTCGCACGTGTAGCTATCCAATTTGTTGATTGGGTTTGGCCGTGGAAGCAACCAATGTGACGTGACATTTTACCAATGTGCTGTGACATTTTAATTGCCTTATCATCAACCCAAATGGAGTTGGCTCTTGTGAATTTGTGAAGTGTCTAAAATGGTGTTAAGGGTGCTGATAGAGGCCCTCCACCACTGTAGTTTGTATGGTGTAAATGACCAATGCTGTGTGAATAAGCTAATGAAATTTAAAGAGATTCCTAGAGTGCTTGAATCCAGTACCATGTTGGAGTGGAGATACCTGCATTAAAGTTGTTTTAACATCTAATGATGGTGGGGTTCTGGTACGGTCAACTTAGACAACTTTTTGGAAGTCATGTGGTTCTCTTTGCATGGCTGAGGCTGAGCCTGAGCATGGGCTGTTGGTGTAAGAACTTTTGAGTTCTTACCACACCAAATCAGATAACCGTCGATAGATTGTTCGCAGCCAGAATCTGAATACAGGCATAGCATAGCCGTTGTGTCTGCGAATAGATTCATGCCACTTAAAATGTCCTTGTGGGGTGGTTGTATGAATACAAGTGTTCTTTTTCTTTGGTCTAGGTGAGGGACTTTGCTAAGTAAACTCTCACTATAGGACAGCTGACCCATTTCTCAGGTATTTGGGGTCAGCTTGCAATTTCAATGACACGAGGTTTTCCCAACTTTCTATCATGTTGGATAGGGTATCAAAAGATATATTTGAGTTGACTCTTTCATAGGGGTGTCTATTTTGTTTCTCAGGGCTGTGGAAGACATTTTGTCTTTGTCTCTCATTTCAATCTTACCAGACCAATAGCCCAAAACAAGAGGATGAAATGAGGGCGTGGTGGTCGTTGAGGGTGGCAAGACTCAGAGAGGTCAGAAGCCTGGGGCCTAAATTGGCATGCTCCTCCAAAAGGATTAGTACGAAAGGCATGTTAAAACTGTCACTTCACCACGTAACATACAAGGAGATTCCCGTGAAATAATTTGAAGAACCCACCAGTTTATAAGTTTCTTACTGTTGCATGTATCAAATTATTCAGCTGTAAGAAACCAGTTACTAAATCAAAAGAGGAAATCATGAGAAAATTGATCTTTCAATTTTTCCTGTTCAAGCAATAGATCATCGGATATTAACCTGAACATTAGTATTAGAAGTGAATATCATCTTAACTTCAGTTTTCCTATACAAAAGCAGCACTTATGGTAACAAGGGAGCATACATAGCCCACGTACGCAAGAGGTAAACAAACTAATCAACAAAATGACAAAACAAACATCAGCACCGAGTAGCATTGAGATCACACTGTTCCAAGAGTGAAGAATAATTTTGAAACTCCATTTTAGAAAAATAATGTTTATGCAAACAGAGCATTAAACATGTTCTGCATACAATACTACTATTCTTGGGCTTCACCTATACCTTCTAAAATCAGATTTTGAAGAGCTATGGAGTATTTAGCAGCTCCTTTTGCCAACAGTTCCCGAATTGAAGTCATTCTTGAGAAGAAACAATCCAGAGCCATCACCTTTCATAAAAAACACCCAATGCATCATGTTCAAATACCAACCAAGAATATGCATGTTACAGAGGAACTGCAAGGTAAAAGACACCATCAATCACCATAATTTCTCCTTGTGCAAACCATTGCACAAACAGTAAGGACAAGCAACAGTTATACAAAATTGGGATTAGTGTACAAATGATTTATCCTACCATCTCTTATAAATGTAGAGTAACCTCGGTGAGGCACTGTGGTGTATCAGAGAGTAGAAGCTTACATGACCCTGTTTCCCTATTTGATACATCATTGTATCAAATAGGGTATCACACACAAAGTAATAGTTGCTTACCTAGCATGAGCTATGGTCTTGTGACACAGAGCTAAATTTTAACCATTGCCAAGTCTTTTCCACGAAGATTGTTGTATCTTTCTTGGCAATTTCTTCAAGATACCAACACAAATTAAGTGAACAAAAACATGAAAAGTGAAATATTCATTTGTTATGCACTTTAAAATAATTTACATAAGAAATGCGAATCAGATTCCAAGCAAGTTTATGGAAAGAAATTGCAATTCATAATCGAGTGCATATCCATCTACACAACACACATCAAATTTACACATCTGTCAAGAAAATAAAGTACCTATCATCAAAGAAATCCCCGAAATCATCGATAATTACTGAAAGAGGAAATGCATCATGAATGTGAAGTGCAGCGAAATACTTTTTGATATCTTCATGATCATCCAAGTACCTTGCAGGAAAATTCTTATTGTTATCAGCTTTAGGTAGCAGAAACAAAGAAATGATAATTCGTGGTAATTATTGATCCATTAGGGAACAAATTGACAAAATTGAAGCTTTAAAAACCAAATTGACAATGGCCAAAATTATTTTTTAATAGGATACATAATGATGCTAAAGATGTTGATAGATTCTTACTTACTTCATTTGTATACGCTGGAAGGTATCAGAAGATGGATCAATGCCCTAAAAAAAATAAATGTTAGCAGATTGACAAAAAAATATGAGGAGGCACATTAGAAGTAAAGTTTGATGCAGGAAGAGAGGAAAAAGAAGAGGGTTTTAACTTAGAGAGATAAGGGGATTTGGTTTCCAACCTACGTCTGTTGCACAAGAACACCACTGCACCAATTGTAGAGCTGCTCTCTAATGCAGAGTCAAATGCAGATTGGAATAGCAAAGATGTCTTCCCACTGCATTCAACATATATTTAGTAGATTTATTTGCAGAGAAAAGAGCACCATTTCTGAAAGAGTGTAAGTGTGTAGTTGTTTATGGAGAAAAAAATATAAAAAGGAGAAATTACGAGGAAGGAGGGCCAGAAAGCAGAAAGAATTGAGTCAGAAGGTAGGTCTTGTTGGAAATCCATTTGCCCCACGGACCTCCCCACCTTCTTCCCAAATTGCGCTACCCTCTAAATTTGATGCTGAACACTGGAGTACTACACTTAGAATAATAATAATAATAATAATAATAAAGAGTGAGAAATGACTCCCTAATAAATTAATTGTTGTTGACTGCAATAATGTGTGGTTGGGTTATTTTGAGGACGAGTAAGTCTCAAAATTGTTATCATTTATCGTCTTTTGGTCTCATGAATATGGAATGGAATGTTGGACAACTAAAAAATAATATAATGACAAAAGTGAGTATGGTGGATATGAAAATGTTAAGGTGCATGCGTGAAAAATTTAAAAAGGATGATCATATTACAGAAGTACTAGGATTAGTTCCAACTGAGGATAAATTAAAAGAGAATAGATTAAGATTGTTTGGTCATGTTCAACAGAGGTCGATAGAAACACTGATTCAAAAAAGTGATAGAGTTTCTCTTAATGACACTGGTTCAAAAAAGTTATAGAGTTTATCTTAATGCTCCTAGAAGTATGGATAGACTTAAATTAATATTAAATAAAATATTGAAAAAATATATGAAAAAATTTAACTTAAATGAACATATAACACATGATGTGGTAAAGATATACTCATATAATCAATTCCAAATTATTGGGACATAAGGTTTGGTTTATTTTTACAACTGGAGTGTCTATGTTCGATTGATTATTTTCCCGCTTGTATTATTATTATAAATTTTACTGTAGTCATTTGCCGTTAAAATATTTCTTTGTAATATTGATAGTATGCATTTTATAGATTGAAACCAAGAATTACAAGAAGCAAAATTTTACATGAATCAAACAATATTAAGAAAAAAATCTCAAAAAATTGGTTGAACCTTCTAGACATCAATATCCTGTCCAGAAAATAGATGGACAGGATAAATATGTATGTGAAATCTATATATGTGAGGTGGACTGCACTTTTAAACTTAAATTCTAAATTTTATTTTGACATAATCTTTTAGAAGTTTTTTTGTTAAACTAAATTATAATGAGTTTTAATTTTTGATCTATACTTAATTATTGAAATTTAAAATTTGGGGTATTTTTTAGAGAAATTTGGAGGTCAGTCCTTTTATATGGACTTATTTGAATTTAAGTCTGCCAAGAAAACTTATTTGTTATGAAGTTCCTTTTTTGTCAATTTTACTAGACAATCTATTCCCTTTAGAAGTGAAGTAAAACTAAAAATTAAAAACTTATATATTTTAAGAGTTTGATTAACATTAAAAATTTGGGCTGAGTCCTCTTAGACAGACTTATAATGACTTGAATCCGTCAAAAAAATTATTTAGGGGTAAGTCCGTTTTTAATCTTATTAGTAAGGAGTTAAGTCCATTTTTTTTAATATCAAAAATATCCTTAACAGTGTTAGTTTGATCAGTTATAGAAAATTGAAGACATTATCTACAAAGAGCTTTATATGGAGATCAATGATTGAATAGGAATGTTTGATTTACGATGGTAATTGTTGATTACAAGTTTTCCATAATACTTTAAATTCAAATTCAAATTCTTAATCATTATTTTGTCTGTTATACATTTAAATAATCAACTTTCTAAATTTGAGACTAATTTAAAAGGAATGAAAAATTGAAGTTGGAATACGAACTCGAGATTTTGAAAAAGTAATATGGATAGTGCACACCAAATACTTGATGTTAGCATAGTAACATCAATTCAGCAACATTAATTTCAAAACGTAATTTATTAACACATATCACTATTTTTTTCATATTACTATTTTTTATTGAACACGTTACTACTTTTTCAGTGTTTTTTTTTTTTTATGCTTACTTCCTTTGGTTATATGTTTGAATGCCACTAGTTTTATTTTTAATTTTGTTTAATGTTCCATATTGCAATTTTTTTTGTTGAACATGTTATTGTTTTTGTTAAGCATGTTATTGTTTTGTCAAGCATGTTACTATTTTTGTTGAACATGTTACTAAAGTTATTTTTTTTTTTTAAATATTAATATTGAATGTTACTATTTTTTTTATGTTTAAATGNGTCTCATGAATATGGAATGGAATGTTGGACAACTAAAAAATAATATAATGACAAAAATGAATATGGTGGATATAAAAATGTTAAGGTGCATGCGTGAAAAATTTAAAAAGGATGATCATATTACAGAAATACTAGGATTAGTTCCAACTGAGGATAAATTAAAAGTGAATAGATTAAGATTGTTTGATCATGTTCAACAGAGGTCGATNGAGGATAAATTAAAAGTGAATAGATTAAGATTGTTTGATCATGTTCAACAGAGGTCGATATAGAAACACTGATTCAAAAAAGTGATAGAGTTTCTCTTAATGACACTGGTTCAAAAAAGTTATAGAGTTTATCTTAATGCTCCTAGAAGTATGGATAGACTTAAATTAATATTAAATAAAATATTGAGAAAATATATGAAAAAATTTAACTTAAATGAACATATAACACATGATGTGGTAAAGATATACTCATATAATCAATTCCAAATTATTGGGACATAAGGTTTGGTTTATTTTTACAACTGGAGTGTCTATGTTCGATTGATTATTTTCCCGCTTGTATTATTATTATAAATTTTACTGTAGTCATTTGCCGTTAAAATATTTCTTTGTAATACTGATAGTATGCATTTTATAGATTGAAACCAAGAATTACAAGAAGCAAAATTTTACATGAATCAAACAATATTAAGAAAAAAATCTCAAAAAATTGGTAGAACCTCCTAGACATCAATATCCTGTCCAGAAAATAGATGGACAGGATAAATATGTATGTGAAATCTAAATAAGTGAGGTGGACTGCACTTTTAAACTTAAATTCTAAATTTTATTTTGACATAATCTTTTAGAAATTTTTTTGTTAAACTAAATTATAATGAGTTTTAATTTTTGATCTATACTTAATTATTGAAATTTAAAATTTGGGGTATTTTTTAAAGAAATTTGGAGGTCAGTCCTCTTATATGGACTTATTTGGATTTAAGTCTGCCAAGAAAACTTATTTGTTATGAAGTCCGTTTTTTGTCAATTTTACTAGACTATCTATTCCCTTTAGAAGTGAAGTAAAACTAAAAATTAAAAACTTATATATTTTAAGAGTTTGATTAACATTAAAAATTTGGGCTGAGTCCTCTTAGACAGACTTATAATGACTTGAATCCGTCAAAAAAATTATTTAGGGGTAAGTCCGTTTTTAATCTTATTAGTAAGGAGTTAAGTCCATTTTTTTTAATATCAAAAATATCCTTAACAGTGTTAGTTTGATCAGTTATAGAAAATTGAAGACATTATCTACAAAGAGTTTTATATGGAGATCAATGATTGAATATATGAATGTTTGATTTACGATGGTAATTGTTGATTATAAGTTTTCCACAATACTTTAAATTCAAATTCTTAATCATTATTTTGTCTGTTATACATTTAAATAATCAACTTTCTAAATTTGAGACTAATTTAAAAGGAATGAAAATTAAAGTTGGAATACGAACTCGAGATTTTGAAAAAGTAATATGGATAGTGTACACCAAATACTTGATGTTAGCATAGTAACATCAATTCAGCAACATTAATTTCAAAACGTAATTTATTAACACATATCACTATTTTTTTCATGTTACTATTTTTTATTGAACATGTTAGTATTTTTTCAGTGTTTTTTTTTTATGCTTACTTCCTTTGGTTATATGTTTGAATGCCACTAGTTTTATTTTCAATTTTGTTTAATGTTCCATATTGCAATTTTTTTTGTTGAACATGTTATTGTTTTTGTTAAGCATGTTACTGTTTTGTTAAGCATGTTACTATTTTTGTTGAACATGTTACTAAAATNGTTTGACTAAAACTCATGCTTTTTCCACTCCATTGTTGAGCCGACCATGGCATATTGGATTCTATTTTGCACCTGAATGGATTTTGCTTTCATGTTGGAGATTTATTTTTTATTTTTTACATTTTTTTCCAAATCCCTACTCTTTAAAATCAACGAAAAAGAGTTACTAAGCTATGTATGTCTCATATATATATACTAACGATACCCCGTGACTGAAGTCACTGAATATTAAACTATGATACTATGCGTGTATTAGAGTGTGTATACAACTGGAGTGTATATATAACGTGTGAGTGTGTATTGAAATATGTGTAATTATGTGTTATGGAGTATTTGTGTTGAGTTTGTGAAATTTGGGAGGGAAAGTATGTGATGGGTGTGTGAAATTTGGTGGAAAAAATATACCCTCATAAGTTCAAACACCTACCTATCTTATTANGGAGTTCAGTTCTCATATATGTACTTATTTGGACTTAAGTCAACCAAAAAAACTTATTTGTTATGAAGTCCGTTTTTTTATCAATTTTACCAGACTATTCAATCCCTTTAAAAGTGTAGTAAAACTAAAAATTAAAAACTCATAAATTTTAAGAGTTTAACTAATATTAAAAAAAAAATCTCATATCTATCTATATCCATACATAAGTTAGGACTATATATATATATATACATACTAGCGATACCCCGTGACTG